CTGACAAGCACAAGTCGAAAAACACCAAAGTACAAACATCACAAAGCAAACAGCAAAAGAATATTCCCAAAGCAGAATGAAAGAAGCGTCATCGTTAGCGCTGCCTCTCTTATACCTCTTTTCTGTGTCTCAACATGTTTAGAAACACACAGATGACCAGCATGGAACTTTTTCTCCCCCAACCTGATGAACTCTTTTAAGTACATGTAAAATTGTTTACACAAAACACGGGAGCAAGGACGTCTGCCAGTTCATCACAGAAATATAACGGCAGTTGTTGTGAACATCGCATGAGGCAGTGAGTCTTGCAGTCTTAATATCATACTTAAACTCAGTCCCTTTAAAGAAACAGACACAGTAAAACAAGACTAAACCCACACACAAACCAAACCACATGTCTATGATTTTTTTTCTACTTTAAAATACTTCTGCAGATTGCTGAGTTATGCAACCCACACCATGACAAGGCACAAAGGCTTTAATAGAAAAATTGACAAGGAAGACTATTGATCACATAATAGAGGGAACTTTGATCAACTAGTAGATTAACTATCAGCTATAGTTAATTATCAACTATCAGATAACACACAAGAATTATTACCTCTCCAACCTACTTTATAGAAGCAATAAAACTCTCTTAAACTCTCGCTATGTACCCATGTTGGGCATCTATCAGTAACATACAGACGGTACATCCACATGGAGCAGCAAAGTCAATGACGATAGACTGATGACTTTACAGATCGATGTCTTCATTAGCTAGAAATTACCATCCTGTTGTGGGTGTGACAGGAAACAATAAGGAATCATGGAGCACAGACAGGCTATGAAAAGTTCAAGGCAATTACCACACGAGTAACGAGTAAAGACTCTAAAGATACACAATTATTGTGACCTCTTTTTTTTTTTTCTTCCCACAAATCGAATCAGATCCTTCAAAGTCCATGCTTCAGAACAGCCCACAGCCCAGGTTTTGTATAAAAGCCAGTCACTGTTTATGTAATTCTAAAGAACTAGACCAAAACTGATTAAGACGAAGCCCAGAAATCAATAAGAGATTAATCACCCTAATTTCTGTCCAGGGCATTTATGTAGCAAAAGTTTTTTGTCATGGCTATACTGGTAACTGTGAGTAAGAGTGTCGAAGAGGTTTGGAAAGTGATACTGCATCATTTAGGCCCAGGACCAGAGTTGTCTTGGCATTTCTCCAGAAAACTTTCAGGGTACCGGGTTATGGATGACCATGGGGCGTCCCTGGTGCACATTCCATTAAAATCTAAACAGGGAACATTATACACTCGAGACGGCAGAGAGAACAAAGGGGAGAGAAGAAACAAAGAGGAGCAGGAGAAAAAAATGGAAGAGGAGAACAGAGAAAGGTGTAGGAGAGGAAGTGAAAGCAAACAAAAAAGCTGTGAAAGACAGATAGATTAGAGACTGGAGGAGGCTAAAGAGGACAAAACAGGCGAGCAAGCAAACAAAAAGAGGCCAGTATACGTACGACTGCGAGACGTCAAGAATGGCAACTTGTGCTGGACTTCATGTTCTCTCAAATCAGTTAAGATAGCACACATGATATCACAACTGGTCTGGGAAAATCCAGAGCCAAAACCACAGGCATGGCGCACTTTCAGCTTCATTTATTTACTTAGTTTTCCTTTTTTCTTTTTTTTGACAAATAGGGAATTTCCTGCTGCACAAATGTTCTAAACAGTGCTAAAAATATCGTTTTCTGTGCCTCCTACATGTAACTACAGTTATGAAAAATTTCTCAGAAGCAGAGGAAGACCTAAACTTCCTCTTAATGCAGACTTCCATTGACATGAGCTATGTGCTAGAAGATGTGTTTATACCTCTGTCATTCATGCGGCATCTTTTGCAAAAAAACTAACAAGGACTGGATGAAGTGGGTAGGAGTTAGACACGAGTTAGAAACCTGTTTTATATAATTCGCTGAATATTTTGGGAAGGTTCTGAATCATGGAGATTGCTTCCAGGTGTTTTAGAGAGGCAGTAAAGCTGAAAGGCCCTGGAGGAAACACGAACACGATGTCTAAACCTGTGGCATAGCCCACAGAAAAACACTCCATACAATCTGACGTTGAGGAGAAGCATTACTATTTTAGACCCAACACTCAGAATCAACAGAAATAACATGACTTTCAACCAGCATTTGAAGGGGACAATGAAACAGAAGCTTGCATTTGTTGCTACTTGCAAAATGAGTATGAAAAGGATGTGTTTCAAAATGTAGGAGGCTCGAAACCAAACATAAAGGTAACTCTAAAGGTCATCTCAGTGATTAAAAGAGCAGCCCAAACAAACCATATAAACTAATCACAGTCTCAAGCAAATCAGAGACTACCCCTTTCCTCCAATATATCTCATGATTAAATGAGATAAGAGACAGTAAATAGCATGAACTCTAGACGAGAGACTTCTAAACCTTCAAAAATAAATAGACCTTCGAGGAGACACACATCGCAGTCTGTAAATCAGTCTCCCCGTGCCTTACTGTCTCCTTGGTACTGCTGATATTTGCACAGTCAAGTTCTCACATGCATGTTTGAAATTTTACAAGAAAGGGCGCACTCACACAACTGTCAAAGCCATGACCCGCACTACCAGACCTCTGGCAAAAAGGTCAAACAAACTGAACAGAAAAATGCAGGACACAAGTACGTGGAAAGTAGGAACGTATACCTTGTAAATTCCGACCACAAGCTCGCTCAGCGTGTCACTGAAAGTGAAATACAGCTTATCAAAGTAAAGATAACTGACTGAAAACCACATGCCTTAATCAAGAGAGCAAACCACTCCTCGGCAAAAATGTAACACAACCGTGACCTTATTTGACTGCCTCCTTTGCTCACTCTTCTTACTCAGTGTGTCATAACTATAAAAAGAGATTACTCTAATTGTAAAGACTCTTCTTCTATGCCAACAGCAATAAAATACATTTTCCTTGAGACGCAGAACCACTTGAGAAAGTTTCGAGCTGGATTATTCACTTTGAAAGTGTGTGTTGGCATGTGTCTGCACTTACACTCTGTCTCTCACACATCTGATGAAGGTAAGCCCTTCCTCCAACAATGACTATCTGAGCATTGCGAGGGTTGCTCAGGTATGCCGCCAGCTGCCTCTGCCTTGACCGATACCAGCACACGTAGAAGAATATCTTTATGATGATGAATATTATAACAACTCTGTAAGAGACACACAAAAAAAGGGGGAGAATGAGGTGAAAAGGTTGCATCATTTTTTAAGCTCCACTTGCGTTGAAAAGGAACATATAAAGAGCAGCTGGATGGGCTTTTACTCACATGTACCAGTACAGCTCCATGATTGTGAGATGTCGGTCACTGAGAGGAGAGTCTCATAGCTGAGGAATAACTTGCTGATTCCTGGCTGCTTTCCCTGAAAACAGTGGCATTGTTAGTCATTTACACCGAAGCAGCAACATTCAATACACAATTTTAATTCATTAACTACAGTCACTTGTGTCTGTAAAATCCTTGTAGCATCTAACCACTCGAGCTAGGTGAAGCACTTTCTGTAACTTAAAACAGATGGTGTGTCTACACGACAGCTAAACCGTCAATTTAGACACCCGGCTCAGCTAAAGCAAACTAAAAAACAAAGACGGTAAACTTACTTTATAGCAACAACTCGGCCTTCTGAGTTAGCTGCCGAGGTGTGCCATTTCCTTGGGGATGTGGTGTGAGTAAAAACCTCCAGGAGCCAGACGAGGCTAGTTCGGCTAAGCTATCGTGTAGCAGGCCACAACAACAACAGCCGTGCCTCTATTTACCCACGCCGCGAACAAAACAACGACTGAATTTGACTTGCTTTGTTAACACGCCTCTCTGGCGTTTTGTATGAGGGCTTTTAGCTAGTTATTCGAAAAGGTACGCGTTAACTTAACACTGAAGACATAACTAGTCCTACTGAGTTTTTTTTTTCTTTTTTTTTTTTTAGCTAGCGCTGACTGACTTAGCACGTCCCTCTGTGTTCACTGCTTTCACAACGGGCGGTGCTCGTAGATGTGATGCTTTCATGCTTCCTGTAAGCTGCTCCCTCCCCCAAACCCGGACTCAATTATTACAATTAACAGCTTACTTTTTTTCCCATTTAAGTACAGCTGGTGCTGTCCGATCGTTGACCAACGTTGTTTAGAACCAAGCTGCACAAAGCTACTTTGTGTTGTCATTGAATAGTGGAAATTAGAAAACCTTTATGAGTTTTTTTTTAATTACTTCAGAGTAAAATCCTCATGTAAAAAATAACACTGAGAACAGTATACCTGTAAAATGATTCTAAAATAATAATGATGTGCCATTCGAGCATCTGAAGCTCAAATATCTGCACCAACACGCTCACAAAAACAAGGTAATAAAAAAGGGAATTTCCAGGATTCCTCACAGATAACAGAAATTCCGAGGGCCCAGGAAGGTAACACAAGTCCGACGGACAAAAAGGTAAGAATGGGCGCAACCACGCTTTCATCCATCGCTTTCATAAGTACACGTGTATGATATCAGTGTAAAAATGTAATTAAATAGTAGCAAAACTATCCCCCAAATAACTCGGGTGTTCATGGTTTAAAGTCAGATATTCAGGTATGGCAAGTCTCAAGGTTTCCTCAGTTTCACCCACACAAATGTATTCAAACCCATTCAAATACATATAAAGATGTACATGAAAGAAAAATACAAAGAGGCATATCAAGTTATCCAACCTCAATTCGTTACCTCCATCTAGTGGTCACTGTTTCATAATACATTCTACTATTTTTTTTTAAAAAGACAGTCAAACATATATAAGAGGATATGAAAAGTCTGCAATATTTAGGGATAAAGTTTTGCTAAAAAAAAAAGACTACCAAAATCCAATTTAAACCATACGTCCAGTTCAGGATGAGTGGGATCCACAGTTTCAACAAAATATTCCCAGAAATAAAAGAAAACATTGTTGAAGAAATTTTACCTGCAGTCCTCATGTGAAGTTTGCTGTAGTTGGTGTTTATTGGTATTCCGGTATATGGTGAGCTCACCAGCACAGAGCATGAGTCTGTGATGGTAAACCGACCCCCGAACATTTTATAGGGTATGTCAGAGGGTGGGGGCTGAATGTAAATACAGACGTGAATAGTGGTTCGTTAACATACAGTTGCGAATCAAGTGGTAGGAGGTACGGGGACAATGAACAACAGGGGGTGGAACCGGGGGTCTGTGATGGGGGTAGGAAACCGCATGACAAAAGGTGATTGAATCAAAGGGTGTGGTGACCAGCAAAAAGAGAGAGAATGACTTTCTTCATTATCATCAAAATAAAAGAAAATGACTTTCTTCATCAACACCAATGCTGTTTTTTTGTTGTATTTCTGCTGTGTGCATATGACAGGAAAAAAGCAGTTTGCTACAATTTAAAAGTACTTTCAAAATTCTGATCAATCTGCAGTTTTTTGGTCAAAAGACAAACATCTATCTAAAGCACATGTACATGATTTATAAATCTACAGCACATCAGAGTCAAATCATCATTTTATATTTGAGAAAGAGACAGTGCTTTGCAAGGCTCTTCACCAAATGCTGACCAGTACATTGTTGTGACTGCGGTAAAAATCAGCCATAATTACTGATGTTTAACCAAACCAGCTTTTAATATTAAATTAAATTGAAATCTTCTGTTTTTTTGTCCATTTACATTCACCTTCTTTTTAGACACGTTCCTCACATTTTCAGAATATCGAGTCTGGGAAGTGACACTTCAGAGCAGCCATTGTCTTTCTTATCTGTTATCTTCCACAACGATGGTCCGTCTTGAGTAGGTGTCTATTTCCACAAATATATAACGAAACTCATATTTTCCAGTTTCGGGATTCTGTAAAATGACAAACAGGAAACTGAATGGTTAAATGCCATCTCAATAAACATTAAAAAAAGACAACAATAAAAAAAATAAATCATTATTACAAAGTTTTTAATTGTCTCCTCTGTTCATGTGACGTCTATCGTTCCACATAAAATTACTTGTGCTTTTGGCATACTCTTCAAATGTCCAAATCATATGTACTGGGATGGCTTTGTTTCAACAACTCTGCTTTTACTGGCCTTTAGTGAGTCACATTTATTTCATAAGCTGCCTTTTGGATTGGAAAAAAACACAAACCTCTTTAGATTCTGAATGCACAGTTCCCTTAAGGCCCGGCTCTGAGCCTTCAATGTAAAACTTGAGTCTCATATGCTTCAGTCCATCCTTCAGGTACTCCAGATGACTGGGGTGGAAACACAAACAGAATTAAAATGCTGTAATGCCTGGGTAAAACCACCACACAGATGTTTGCTTATGCAGAGCCTAATTAAAGCTCAAACACACAACATAAGAGGGCGTCTTTGTTGAATTTATTAATACTCTAGAGCTTGTTTAGCAGAGTTACAAAATCCCCACCTGACTTGCTGCCTCCTCCCTCGACGGGTGGTCTCGCCATAACACTTGATTGGTTCCCCAAACGCACCGATCACCTACAGAACATAAAGTAGAACTTTATTAATCCCAAAAACACACTTTTTATGCCAGATATTGCTCAGAAATACAACACAGTAACAAAAGAATAAATGCAATACAACACCTTACTTAAAATATAAATAAAATAAGTCAAAATAATACTAGAATAGAAAAGTAGGCAGTAATACTGGCAATGGTATTGAAGTAGTAAAGTAATATTGTAATAATGTTTATTTTGGATGAGAGGCATTGTTCCTATGAATAAGTAGTTTCAATCCCACCCACACCAGAGACTCCAGCTCCACTCCAAGGACTTAACCAGCTTTTCCTGATTATCTTGTTGAGTCTATTAGCATTGGCTGCCTTCACCCTGCTGCTCCAGCACACTACTGTGTAAAAGATGACCAGGCCACCACTGACTTATAAAACACTTGCAGCATGGTTCTGCAGATGTTGAAAGTCTCCTGAGAAAAAAACACAGGCAGCTCTGACCTTTCCTGTACAGAGCCTCCATGTTTTCAGTTTAGTGTGGACACCAAGGTACTTGTAAACCTCGTTAAATTCCACCTGTTCCCTCCATACATACTGGGTTCAGAGTGGTCCTGTGCCTCCTAAAATCTACCATCAACTCCCTAGTTTTTGTGATGTTTAGTAGGTGGTTTAATTCACACCACTCCACAAAATTGTCCACTAATCATACACTCTCAATCAATAAGAAAGCTTTTGTGCATCAACAGACAGTGACCTCAGGAAGTGCACCGAACTGAACTAAACTGTCAGAATTAGTACCCACATAACATGCAACACAGTGATTTACTGTAACACTGCACAGTATAATTTATAGTCACATGCTGAACCTTCCCAAAATCTTCCTCCTGAGCAGTATCATGCCCCTCAGGAGGAAGATGCTGTTTGGTAGTCTATAAACTTACCTCTGGGTGTAACCTGACTTTGTCAAAGGCTTTCCCATAAACTTTATTTGGACTTGTGGAAGAAAACAGCTCCTGGAACACCACATATAAAAGCCCACCTAAAACACAACACAACAACAAAACATGTTTGTGTCTGTATTTGTTGTTTGACTTGAAACAAGAAGATAAATTGGAATGTATGTGGTTGTTCACAGGAGTATTCACCTGTCACCCCAAGTCCGATGAGTACAACTATCAAGTAGGTGAAGTCTCTGCCAGCGTCTTTCACTGGAAGACATTAAACATGGAAACAGTAACATATAAAGTCAATGACTGAATATTTGCTCTCACAAATGACAACAGGTGCTTGTTTTATTTAGTGAATAAATTGGAGTTTGGACCAGACAGAGGATTTAAAGACATCATTTTGGTCACTTGTGATTATTATTCATCAGATTCATTCAATTTATAGATTTTAAAGGATCGTAAAATACTAGATAATCAATGATAAAACTACTGCTGCAGAGGGAAAACCATTGAAACACAACAAACAAAAATATAAACACAGCACATAGTATTTTCTTAAATTATGTGTATTCTTTTTTTTAACAGGGGAATAAGTATTTGTTGTTTCAACACATGGCATCTCTACAACAGAATAGATGTCTTGAGGCAACAAAGTACGCAGTGTTTTGGAAATGATATTAGGCAGAAGAACAGTGGGGTCACAGACTAGAAATTATAAGTCAGTACTGAGGCACAGATTTGTGACACACTGCCCTTACTCTCATTTTGGGGGACACTGCATTACATTGTTGGACTCATCAGGTGCCAGATTGTCTGTTGAACCATGCACCATTTCTTAGACAGCAATCGTAGAGCTGTGCTCACATGCCAGCATCCAACATGCCAACTATCGCTTCTCGTGTTTTAAAGCTGTTTTGCAAGGTATCCTTTCATAGTCACCAGTCAAAGGAGTGTCTGTGTGATCGTATTGACCTTTAAAGGTTTGGAATAACTCACTGGTGGAGAATTTGTCACCAGATGAACAGCACAAGTGGCTAAATGTTTCCTAATCATGATAATAAAAATGAAACTGTTAGCTTCTTAGCTAAGGCAGAAAAGAGGCCTGTTTACATGCTGCGTTTACATCAAGCTCTGAGAAAGTAGTGCACAGATTAAGGGACAACTCAAATCATTTGCATGTCTTTGCCCCTGCATACCTTTTTGTGCAGCTGAAGGCTTTGGGCTGCCACTCTGATACGTGGAAACTGACTTGTCTCTGTCCTGGGGGCTGCTTTTATTTCTGGCAGTGAAGTCGATTGAGATACTCCGCCGTCTGTGTGCTTGAATGAAGCAGCTCACTACAGGTGAATGAGCCTCTGGTGCTTTTTGGAAAGCCAGTCTCGACAGCGTTGACACTGTCCTGTGCGGGTGGATGACCCCGCTGATCTGTGCCAGTTTGCATTTCTGCACGGAGAGCTGTGTCGCCGTGTGTTGCAGATTTCGATGCAGGGCTTTCAGAATTTGCGTATAAGCCATGACCACGGCTAGCAAACCGAGATAGTTTGTTATTTAGCACGGTCGACTGCTAGCTAAAGCTAGAAAAGTTACAGCAACAACTCCACAGTAGGGTGTAATTATATAAAAGTGGCTAATTTTACTGTAAAACACGACAGGACAACTCACAACACGAACCTACTCCGACACAGGAGCTGCAGCAGGTCGCTCTGTGTCAAATCTGTGCTACTGAGACGCATAATGATGTCGTCACACACTGTTAAGGAAGAAGCGCCAAATATCAGTCGCTCGGATATAACGTCATCAAGCCACATTTAAAAAAAAATAAATAAAAAATTAAAATTAGTTTCTAGTAACGTAAAACTGGCCAGAGCATTGGTGGAAATTACTCAGATTTGAATGAAACAAACATATACGAAAATCAAGGTCAGACCTGTAAACAAACAAACAAATAAACAAATCACAAATGAGTAATCTGTATGTTCATCACCCTTTTGCATCACGCTGTTTGATCTATCGTAGAAATGGACAGCTTTGTGTTTTTTTTTTTACAGCTTTGTGTTTTTTTTTTGTTTATTTATTTATTTATTTTTCCAGGACCGATATTGATTAGTAGTAATCTATAACACTGATAACTAATATATGGCACAGACATAAAATTAAAAAAAAAAAAAAAAACAACAAATTCTTGTGTCAAAACTTAGAATAACAAAAACTGCAACACAAAACTTTTTCAAATATATATATATATTTAATGTTTTAGATATTTTAGTTATTGGAGAAGCTTTTAACATTAATGCTTTGTATTGATAGGCTGTTGCGCTTAAACCAATCACACACCAATGTGTAACAGTTCACCTATTAATTCCGAGGTGACAGT